CCCAGCTGCAGAGCCCGGAATGGTACTGCCCTTTCCCTCTGAAAACTCAAAAAAGAGAGACCCCTGGAGATGAAAGTCGAATGTCCTTTTAACACTTTCAGAGACGCACAGCCCGCCAGGTCCTCCGTGTCGGCAGAAAGCCACAAGCAGCCGCGCTCCGGGCTGGCTGTCCACACACCCTTCCCCACCCCGAGCGGCTCTGAGCAGCGCCCCCTCCAGGGCCGGGCGCACGAAGGGTCCCCAACCTCCGGTCAGACAGGCAGCTTGGTATTCGCCCACTTCCCCTCTCCCGCGGGTGTGCCCGGGGCTTTGCCGCTGCGGCTCAGCTGGCGAGTGTCTCTTATGCAAAATGTTTTTCCTACCACGAGGCAGCCTCCCTTCTCCCTTTAATTTTTTTCCCTTTTGTTCCCCCCCCCCTTCCCCTCTCCCTCCCACACACCACCCCCAGCTGTCTTTTCTCCCATACCGTTCATCAGCTTTCCTCGTCGCCGAGGCTCTAGATCAAAAAAACAGATGTAAATTTATTCACGGCAAATCCCGTGTCCTCCTTTGCCGCCGCTGCCACCATTGTAATTCAGGTTTTGTTTTTTCCTGTTTTATTTTTTTAAACGTCTGCTTTTAAGTGTCCCTCTAGAATTCCCGTCGGATTATTTGATGTCATCACATTCCGCCTGAAATTAAAAACGATTTTTTTTTTCTGTACCGGGTTGGCCCTGGCGTGATTCTTTGAGGCGTCTGTGCTCTGTTAATCCCCCCCGGAAGACCATAAAAGCACTTTGGGCCGGATGCCACCCATCTCAGGCACTCTTCCCTGGCCCGAGGATCCGTCCCCAAATGCCAGAAGGCCCCCCCCCCCACCTGCAGGAGGGATCCGTGTGAGCCAACTCGAGGTTTGCTAATGGGAGTGACATCCTGGACACGGTTCCCAAAGTCATTTGGATGTTTACATGCCAGCGGAAGCTGTCTCTCGCCTCCCCGGCTGTGGCTGGTTTGGAGAACACAAGACGAGCCCTGCTGGATCAGACCAGTGAGGATCCATCTTAGTTCAGCATCCTGCCTCACACAGTGGCCTCAACCAGTTCCTCTGGAGGGCCAACAACAGGGCAGAGAGCCCGAGGCCTTCCCCTCACAAGAACATCAGAAGAGCCCTGCTGGATCAGGCCAGTGAGGGTCCATCTAGTCCAGCATCCCGTCTCACACAGTGGCCTCAACCAGTTCCCCTGGAGGGCCAACAACAGGGCAGAGAGGCTGAGGCCTTCCCCTGATAAGAACATCAGAAGAGCCCTGCTGGGTCAGACCAGTGAGGGTCCATCTAGTCCAGCATCCCGTCTCACACAGTGGCCCCAACCAGTTCCTCTGGAGGGCCAACAACAGGGCAGAGAGGCTGAGGCCTTCCCCTCATAAGAACATCAGAAGAGCCCTGCTGGGTCAGACCAGTGAGGGTCCATCCAGTCCAGCATCCTGTCTATCACAGTGGCTTCAACCAGTTCCTCTGGAGGGCCAACAACAGGGCAGAGAGGCCGAGGCCTTTGCCTCATAAGAACATCAGAAGAGCCCTGCTAGGTCAGACCAGTGAGGGTCCATCCAGTCCAGCATCCTGTCTATCACAGTGGCTTCAACCAGCTCCTCTGGAGGGCCAACAACAGGGCAGAGAGGCCGAGGCCTTCCCCTCACAAGAACATCAGAAGAGCCCTCCTGGATCAGACCAGTGAGGGCCCATCTAGTCCAGCATCCCGTCTCACCCAGAGGCCTCAACCAGTTTTTCTGGAGGGCCAACAACAGGGCAGAGAGGCCGAGGCCTTCCCCTCATATGAACGTCAGAAGAGCCCTGCTGGGTCAGACCAGTGAAGGGTCCATCTAGTCCAGCCCTCCCGTCTCACACAGTGGCCTCAACCAGTTCCTCTGGAGGGCCAACAACAGGGTAGAGAGGCCGAGGCCTTCCCCTCATAAGAACGTCAGAAGAGCCCTGCTGGTTCAGACCAGTGAAGGGTCCATCTAGTCCAGCCCTCCCGTCTCACACAGTGGCCTCAACCAGTTCCTCTGGAGGGCCAACAACAGGGCAGAGAGGCCGAGGCCTTCCCCTCACAAGAACATCAGAAGAGCCCTGCTGGGTCAGACCAGTGAGGGTCCATCTAGTCCAGCCTCCCGTCTCACACAGTGGCCTCAACCAGTTCCTCTGGAGGGCCAACAACAGGGCAGAGAGGCCGAGGCCTTCCCCTCATAAGAACATCAGAAGAGCCCTGCTGGGTCAGACCAGTGAGGGTCCATCTAGTCCAGCCTCCCCCGTCTCACACAGTGGCCTCAACCAGTTCCTCTGGAGGGCCAAAACAGGGCAGAGAGGCCGAGGCCTTCCCCTCATAAGAACGTCAGAAGAGCCCTGCTGGGTCAGACCAGTGAGGGTCCATCCAGTCCAGCCTCCCGTCTCACACAGTGGCCTCAGCCAGTTCCTCTGGAGGGCCAACAAGAGGGCAGAGAGGCCGAGGCCTTCCCCTCATAAGAACGTCAGAAGAGCCCTGCTGGGTCAGACCAGTGAGGGTCCATTTAGTCCAGCCTCCCCCGTCTCACACAGTGGCCTCAACCAGTTCCTCTGGAGGGCCAACAAGGGGGCAGAGAGGCCGAGGCCTTCCCCTCATAAGAACATCAGAAGAGCCCTGCTGGATCAGACCAGTGGTCCATCTCATCCAAGCATCCTGCCTCACACAGTAGCCAAACGGTTCCTCTGGACCGCCAACAACAGGCAATACTAAGAGCCAGTGTGGTGTAGTGGATAAGAGCGACGGACTCTAATCTGGAGAACCAGGTTTGATTCCCCAGTTCTCCACGTAAAGCCAGCTGGGTGAACCTGGGTCAGTCACAGCTCTTTCAGAGCTCTTTCAGCCCAGAAAATGTCTAGCTGAGCACCTAGTGGTGCGTCACGCTAATGAGGTTGAAATTAAGGCTGCCAGACAATCTTTGGATCTCCTGGCTATACTACACACAGTGCCACATGGTAATTATTACTCCGACTGGCTTCTGCAGGGTCTCCGGCAGAGGTCTTAACATAATAACATTAGAGAAGCCAATATTGGATCAGTCCAATGGCCTAGCCAACACACAGTGGCAAAAAATGCCAGGTGCCATCAGGAGGTCCAGCAGCGAGGCCAGGACACTAGAAGTTCTCCCCCCCCCCCCAAGCCCCAAGAATACAGAGCATCCCTTGCCCCAGCCATAGAGTCCCTGTCTATCCCTTGTGGCTAATAGCCACTAATGGACTTCTGCCCCATAAAGGTAAAGGTTCCCCTGCTCGAAAGCCATTTGAGTCTGACTAGGGTTGCGGTGCTCATCTCCATTTCAAAGCCAGAGAGCCAGCGCTGTC